GAAAAGGACAGCTCAGTGCTTCTCAGCCGTGTGTGTCCCCCAGGTAAGTTGGGAAGAACAATTTAACCTCCTTTTTCCCATCACAGAGAGTGGACTGAGGGATTTAAATAGCTCTTGTTTACCACTGCCACCCTCCTGGCAGTATTTTTAGAGAGGTAATTGGATCCCCCTGGTGCCTTTGCTTTGCTGTCTCGAGCTCCACATCCTCTGACCCCACACCTGCACCTGTCCCAGTTTGTATCTGGGCGAGCTGAAATGGGATGGGTTTTTCCCCAGCATTAAGCTGGGGGGCTCCTGGTGCACTCAGAGACTTTGCAGGAGGAGGAAGGAGGGATTTGGGCTGGAAAACCAGCCCAAATTTGGGTTGGCAAGCTGTAAAACATCTGGCCAACAAAGAAAACATGGAAAAAATGAGTCCAGAGGGCAAGTGGCACTCAGGGATACAGCGGTTCAAACCTTTACCCACCTCTTAAATCAACTAAACCTGGAATATTCTAAATAAAAAAATCTATTAAAATGAATTTTTAAATCAATTCAGTACATTTTTATATTTGATCAAATAAATTTTAAAATTAACAGAATCAACTAAACACTGGGTATCCTGAATAATCTCCAAAATATCCCTAAAATATAAATAGCATCTTTCCAGGCTGAAGGATCTTGGGGCCTCATGACCACGCTGGTTTGCAGCAAAACCCCATAATCAAATTTATGCAAATGAGAGGGAACTGGTGGTTCCTATCATACAAAGGACAAAATGACACACAGGTACTGAGAGCCTTTTCCCCAACCACCATCTCCAGACTCCCAAGCACGAGGAATCCCCCCAAAAAAGGGGTCCCCACCATCCAACAGGTCCCATCCCAAGGCTCAAGCACCCTTACAAGAGAGTAATTTAACGCCATTCCCAGCTTAAGCTCCATATCTGCCGGGCGTGAAATTAGTTCCAGCAAGCTGCAAATTTGCCACTAATAAAAATATTTAGCAATTCGCTAGTCTTTAAATCAGGAGCAGAATATTTTCTTCCCTGCATCAACGCCTGTTTCTTTTTAATTCTAATATTGGAGCGCCGGGGAGCTCCAGCCGTAACACTGGAGGTCTCACGACTGTGCAAGCAGTTTTAAATCAGCTCCCTCGGCGCTTCCAACCCCACCACCAAGACTTTGATCATTTATTGTCATTTGATCCGAGGCCACGTTGGTTATTTTGGCCACCAGGATGAGCTGGCCGTGGTGGGTTTGCAGGTTTTAAGCCAAAAGAGGCCATTTTGACCCAAAGCTGCCCTGTTTCCAGGGGCTGCTCCACTCACAAAAGAGCTTTGATCCATGTGATCCTACCTTGGAGGAAGGTGACCTCTCCATCCTCCTGTGCCAAGCACTTAATTAGCCTCAGCACTAATTGTGTCTCTCTGCCAAGCCCATTTCATCCAATGCCAGCCTCAGGATCTTTGTCACGCCTTTGCCAAGAAATGCCACAATTCCCTGATTTCTTCCTTGGGAAAAACGATCTGCAGTGATGACACAGCCTCCAAATCATTCCTTTTCCTTGGCAGGACAGCAGTTCCCATCCAATGGAGAGCACTGAATTATCTGTGCCCAAATAAATCCTCTGAATTGGGTTTTCTGGGCCACGAGCACCCAACAGCATCAGTATCACTCCGCTTCTCCTGATTTAAAGCAGATTATTGCTTTAAATGGCTCTATGATACCCATGTTACAGATACCAAACAAACTGGAGCTGGAATTGATCATCACCACATCATCTGTCATCCCTTTGACGTGTCCTGTCCCCAGCACAAGGGTCTGGGTGCAAACACCACATGGTGCAAATCAAAAGTCTTGGAGAAACCCGAATGTGTGACACCAGCAAACATCCCTGCACCAACAGCTATCCTGGAAAAAACACCACAGGTATGAAGCTTCTCCCAGAGTCATGCAAACAACACAAAAATCCTCAATATTTGCTGCTCTCCCATGTGTTTTAATTCACCTTTTATACCCAGCATTGCCTTTCTCCCACTTTCTGCTACTTCTTTTTTTCCAGCTGCAATGCAACTCCGACACAACCAATAAATGGGACCAAATCCCAGCAGGTAAAATCTGGAAGGAAAAGTTATTTTAGGCCAGCAATAAATGATTCTTGGCAATAAAATCAGACCTTTGCATTCAGCTGGTGGGCTGGTGGAGCAGTTTGCAAGGCAAATCCCCAGCAAGGCATTCCTGATGCTGGGAGGGGGCTGAGATGCAGAAGAAGGATGGGTTTAGGGTGATGAGCTTTGCTGCAGATGGGTTGAAGAAATTTCTGGTGAAGGTTGTGCTTGGAAACATCACACCAATGGGATTGGTTTTCCCAGTTTCCCTCATCTGTGGGTTGACCATTTGCTTTCATTGTGCTCTGAGAAACCTGCAGCCCTGCTGTGATACCATGTGGGCTGGGCAAATCAATATTATTAAACATCATGTATTATATGTAATACATTATATATAACATGAAATATGAAATATGAAATATGAAATATGAAATATGAAATATGAAATATGAAATATGAGTTATGGAATATGGAATATGAAATGTGAAATATGAACTATGAAATGTGATATATGAAATATAACATATAACATATAAAATGAAATATATATAATATATGACATATAGTATATTATTGTATTATATTTATATTATATATTATACTATGTACATTACATAATATATAATATATTAAATATAATACATAATAAATTATATATCATATATTTTATAATATCTTCTATATATTATTTTTATTATGTATTGTATATTATATTATACTATATATTATACTATATGTTATATATTATATTATATTATATTATATTTTAATATATTATATTATATTTTAATATATTATATGGTATTATATATCATATATTTTATAATATTATATATTATGTATTATATATAATATATTATTAAATATTGAATGCATTTAATATTAAAGGGATAAATATATAAGTATTTTGGAGGGTGTTGGGCTGCATTTCAACTCATTTCAACTCCAGATCTTGTGCTTGAGTTACCATCAGCCCTACTGCATTGGTGGGGTTAAAAGCAACAAGCAGCAAGGCTCAGAGCTGGCCATTGGATGTTGATAAATTGCATTTATCCTTCAACTTCTGGGCAGATATCTGGGATGTGGTGTGCTCCACCAGCAGGATCAGCAGCTGGATGACTCAAGCTCTCTGCCTCAATCTCTTGAACTGGTTTAACGTTGCTGCTCTTGAAACTGCCAGGCAGCACCAAGACATGGAGAAGAGCAATAAAAACCCAATAAATATGGGAAGAGGTTAACGAGGCTGTTGGATAAGAGGTACAAGGGAAAAAGAAGCCAAGGAAAAGCCTTATGGGGTGATGAATAAAACCTGTCACTTCCAGATGAGAAGCCAAAGCGTGCAAAAGAATGGCAGAAGGAGAAATCTCCAGCCGAAAGCAGGGTTATGAAGAAGAAATTTGGCGGTTTAGAAACTACAAAAATGCCAAGAAACGGCACAACAGAGCAAAGCCAAGGGAGATTCCCAACCAACAGGAGCAAACATTTAATTTCTCACGGCCTGCAGGAGCAGGAAGCAGAGGGAACAGAGGAGGAGGAGTGGGAAGGGGACGCAGAGATGGACCCCAGCACGGCAGGACTGCAGGAAAGGGGAACACCCTGAGCTGGGGCTAACCGGAGCGCTCGGTGCCGTGCCCGGGTGCCAGGGGAAAGGCAGCTCGGTGCTGCACAGGACATGAACCGCTGGTTTATTCCTCCCCTCGAGGGAGGGGGCAGAAAACGCCCCCTCAGGTGGCATTTTGTGCAGCCAAAGTGCTGCAGACTTCAAGCGCTGAGACAGAAAATATCGATGTTTAGGGTTTTTTGGGTTAACTGAGCCCAGAGTGCCTGGGGTTGGAGCAGGATCTTCCTTAAAGTCCTTTCCAACCCAAACCATGATGTAATTCCGAGATTGTGGGATAAAGTCACTGATCAAACCACACCGCCCTCGATCTGATGGGCAAAATGTGATGGTGACGAGACAGGATTTATAAACAGGCTGGAATATTTATTTTAAATGGAAATTCCTCTTGTCTTCATGTTAGAAGATGCTTACAGCATCGACAAACCTCCCTGGCTTGGCTTGGCTGTCCCAGAGCCCCAGCACGGCTGCTCCAAAACCGATGTCAGCGTTACTGCATTAACGAAATCTGCCTGATTTTGACCCTGAATACAACTGAGGGCGTGCACAGCTCAGTTTTTAGGGTTTTGGGGTGAAAGTGTGTTCAGAAGTGCTCCCTGCAGCGGGGAGGGCAGGAGCTGGGTGGCGCCGGCCGAGGCGAGGCGAGGGAGCACCGGGAGGGGAGCGGGTGGAAATTCCCGTTCCACCGGGAGCAGCAGGAGCGCTGGGACGGGGAGCGGCTGGAGCGGGATCCTGGGATCCCGGGATCCCATGGGGCCAGGAGAGACGGGGATCAATAGGGACCGGGTCTGTAGGACCGGGGATCAATAGGGACCGGGTCTGTAGGACCGGGGATCAATAGGGACCGGGTCTGTAGGACCGGGGATCAATAGGGACCGGGTGTGTAGGGCTGGGGATCAATAGGGACCGGGTGTGTAGGACCGGGGATCAATAGGGACCGGGTGTGTAGGGCTGGGGATCAATAGGATTGGGGCCGGGATGGGGCTGGGATCGGGGCCGGGACCAGGACCCGGATCGGGATCGGGATCGGGATCGGGATCGGTATCAGGATGGGGATCGGGATCGGGATCGGGGACTCGACCCCGCCCCGGGCGCGCCCCCGCCTCCGGCGGCGCGCACAAAGCCCCGCCCACCCCTCCACCCTCAGCCAATGGGAAGCGCCGAGCGAGTGCCAAGGCGGGGCAGGGAAAGCGGGGTCCGCGCCCGCTCCCTCCTCCCCTTAGCCAATAGACAGCGCGGGCGGCGCTGCGGGCAGCGCTGATTGGTCGCGGCGGCGCGGTTGCTAGGCAGAAGCGGCGGCGCGGGGCGGCATGGCGGGCGCGCTGGGCGTGGGGCCGGGCGTGCTGGCGCTGCTGCTGCTCTGGGCCATGGCGCTGCTGCTCGTGACGGCGCTGGGCCGCGCCGGCCGCGCCCGGTGAGCGGGGACACGGGGCGGGAGCGGCCCGGGGAGCGGGGACACGGGGCGGGAGCGGCCCGCGGAGCGGGGACACGGGGCGGGAGCGGCCCGGGGAGCGGGGACACGGGGCGGAGCGGCCCGGGGAGCGGGGACACGGGGCGGGAGCGGCCGGGAGCGGCCCGGGGAGCGCGGGGCTCGGGCCCGCGGAGCTGAGCTCGCCCCGCTCCCGCCCCAGGCTCGGCGCGGTGCCCGTGGTGCTCGGAGCCGCCGCGCTGACGGCCGCGCTGCTGCTGTTCCCCCGGGAGAGCGAGAGCCCGGCCCCCGCCGGCGCCGAGGAGGTGAGGCCGGGCGGGGCGGGAGCGGCGGCGCCGGGACGGGCCCCGGGACGGGCCCTGAGCGCCCGCGGCCCGGCCTTCTCCGTGGGCACGGCCCCAGGCTGGATCCTCACCCGGGATGGGCCCTGGGGATGGATCCTCACAATGGGGATGGGCCCTGGGAATGGATCCTTACTCAGGGACGGGCTGCAGGATGCCCTGGGAATGGATTCTCACCCCGGGATGGGCTGCAGGGTGCTCTGGGGATGGTTCCTCCCCCGGGATGGGCTGGGAATGGTTCCTCACCCCAGGGATGGGCTGCAGGATGCCCTGGGAATGGTTCCTCACCCCAAGGATGCCCTGGAAATGGATCCTCACCCAGGGACGGGACGGGCTGCAGGATGCCCTGGGAATGGATCCTTACCCCAGGGAAGGGCTGCAGGATGCTCTGGGGATGGATCCTCACCCAGGGATGGGCTGGGAATGGTTCCTCACCCAGGGATGGGCTGCAGGGTGCTCTGGGGATGGTTCCTCCCCCGGGATGGGCTGCAGAGGATGCCCTGGGGATGTTCCTCCCCCGGGATGGGCTGCAGGATGCCCTGGGGCCCCGGGAGACGGCCGCGCTGCTGCTGTCCCCCCGGGAGAGCGAGAGCCCGGCCCCCGCCGGCGCCGAGGAGGTGAGGCCGGGCGGGGCGGGAGCGGCGGCGCCGGGACGGGCCCCGGGACGGGCCCTGAGCGCCCGCGGCCCGGCCTTCTCCGTGGGCACGGCCCCAGGCTGGATCCTCACCCGGGATGGGCCCTGGGGATGGATCCTCACAATGGGGATGGGCCCTGGGAATGGATCCTCACCCCGGGATGGGCTGCAGGATGCCCTGGGAATGGTTCCTCACCCCAAGGATGCCCTGGAAATGGATCCTCACCCAGGGACGGGACGGGCTGCAGGATGCCCTGGGAATGGATCCTTACCCCAGGGAAGGGCTGCAGGATGCTCTGGGGATGGATCCTCACCCAGGGATGGGCTGGGAATGGTTCCTCACCCAGGGATGGGCTGCAGGGTGCTCTGGGGATGGATCCTCACCCCAGGGATGGGCTGCAGGATGCTCTGGAATTGGTTCCTCCCCCAGGATGGGCTGCAGGATGCCCTGGGGATGGTTCCTCCCCCGGGATGGGCTGCAGGATGCCCTGGGGCCCCGGGATGGGCTTTCAGCTCAGAGCAAGCCCCGGTGCCATCCCCGTGCCCCGGAGATTGCCCCGTGCTGCCTTTGTGCTCTCCCACTGGCACAGGCTGTGGGGCTGGTGGAGCTGGGAACTGTTGATTTCTGTGACTAAATTGCAGATTCACACACTGCTCACCTGGCCCGGGGCTTTGCCTCCCCTCCTCCCCTCCCCGGGGGTTGCCCTCCTGCCTTGGTCCCTCCCGGCTCCAGCAGCCTCTGCTCCCTCTGCCATTCCCTTTCCTCCTCCTTCTCCTTCCAGTTCTGCAGCCTTCCAGTGTTCCTCAGCTCTGATTCCTGATTAAAGCCCAAAGCTCTTCAGCTCTCTTGCAGGTTCCTGCCCTGCTTGAGCACGAAGCCCTCTGCCGTGTCAGGCCCAGAGAGCTCCCCAGTTTTTGGATCATGCTGCCTGAGCTGCACCTTGAGCTCTCCCAGAGCTCCTTGGGCTTTGAGTACACAAAGTTTTGTGGCCTTTCGGGTGCTGTTTCCTCTGTTCTATTATTAATGCCTGTTAATTATTGCTTTTCTGGTTCTTGTTCTGTGTAAATCCCTACTAAAAGACACTTGTAATGTTCTTTTCTTCTCTCTGTGTCACATCTGACCCGCTCCTGTGAAGGTTAGGAGGGAGATGAAGGGCAGCCCCGTGAGTGTTTGTTGCCTGGGAGGCAAATGGAATTGGAAAGCTTATTTTTTTACGGCTCTTCAATTGGACTGGACCTGCCCTGCCTATCAATAATACATGACCTGGGCTTTCTGCACCAAAACTCTGCTAATTGGCTAATTAAAAAGTGAAACGTGCAGAAGGAGCCGGCGCTTGGCTCACCAGAGACTCTCTGCAGGAGCACCAGGGCTGAGCTAATGCCATGGATGCAGCTGAGCTGGGGCTGAGCAGAGCTCTGGGGGGTCTGGGGAGCAGAGAGGGGATTTCATAAACAGCTCCTCGCCGTGGGCTTCTCTTTGTCTTGCCTAGCCACCACAGCTTTTTCTTTAATTGTTATTTTTCTCTTTTCTCGCTGTCTCCCTTCGAAAAGGGAATCAGGGCTGGAGGTTTGTGGCTGGGGAGAACTGCTTCAGGGCTTGACTGCTGCCTCTTCCCTGTGCTCAGAGCTGTGCTGCTCCACATTAACATTCCCAGCAGCTTTTGCAGGGATTCTTGTTCTCCTTTGTCGCCCACTGTGCATCCCAGGGATGAAAGGCAAGGAGAGAAATCTGGGGGAGCCCCAGAGGTTCCCTTTTCCAGGTTGTGCCGTGCTCCCTCCAGGCTGCTGGGGCAGGCTGGGGCTGTGACGTGCTGGGATCTTTGTGTTTCTCCTCCCTGCAGGTTGTGGACACCTTCCTCATTGGCCGCTTCATCCTCCTGGCTGTGATGAGCCTGGTGTTCCTCGGGTGCCTGTTCCTGTTCCTGGTTTACCACCTCATGGAGCCTGTGTATGCCAAGCCGCTCCACAGCAGCTAGAGACAGCAATCCTGCAAAGAGGACATCCTGATTGCATGGGAGTAAACCAGAAGAGACACCAGGAGGCTGCTCTGGAGGTGACCTTGGTGTTCTGAAAGAGCCAGCGAAGCAAGTGAAGCCTTTGCTTTGTCTTAAAAAGCAAAGTTTGGTCTGAGCATGAGCTCCTTCCTCCCCAGGGGTTCAAGCCTCTGCAGCTGCAAAGGTGTGAATATCTGAATGCTGCTCTCATTTATAGAGAGCTGAGATCCAGCACTTGGTGCTGCTCCTCATTCAGTGCCCTGAACTGAGCTGAGATGGTTTGTTATTGTTACCCACAAGAGATGGGTAGAGCAAACAAACAAACAAGTAACAAACAAGAGCAGTTTGCTACTGCTCCTTTTTCACTGTGGTTTAATAAAACTCTTTGAGAAATCCCTGACTCAGGCTTTATTTATTCCACAGAGATGTCACATTTGGCCACACTGTGGTCACAGTGCCCATGAGAGCTGGGGCAGACGTGGGGTTTTGAGAAAAAAAACCCCAAACAAACATCAGTGTGTGGCTGTGGATTGTTTGGGATGGTCCCCTGGACTGGAAATCAGAGGCTTTGCAGTGCGGAGTGAATGCCAAGTGATCCAGAACAGCAAAAGGAAAGTGAGGAGTGAGGGAGAGGCTGTGTGTGCCCTCCTGGTGCTGAGCAGTCCTGCCAGCCATGGAAAGCCCCCTGGTGACACCTGAGTGTTCCCTGGCTGTCAAGGCCCTCAGGTGGCACTCAGTGATGCCAAAGGCTCACAGTTGCTGCTACCCTAAAACTTCAAACCTTTGCTCAATTCTAGCACAGATCCTGCTGACCACCTCATGTCCCTCTTTTCCCCTCTTGGGGGAGAAAACACTCTGTATGTTTTGCAGGAGCAGCAATGGGGTTGAATGCCATTTTTCCCCTATTTTTGGGGGGAAGCAGGGCACAGTTTGCTGCAGCAGAGCCTGTGCTGAGCTGTGGGCAGCAGTGGCACGAGCTCTGTGCACAGCCACTGCTGCTCTGTGCCCTCCATGGCAGCAGTTTGTTTTCTTGCATAAAATCTCAAAAAGCTTTGAATTGCAGAAAAAAAAAGCATTTTTGGTGGCCTGGAGCATCCTGTGACTGTTTCAGGAGGGGAGAAGCCTTTACCCTCCCTGCTGTGTGGGCAGAGGTTCCTGCAGGTGCCCAGGTCACGGGCTGAGGTGGGCTCTGCTTTGGCTCCTGTTCTCCAGCCCCACAGGGATGGAGCTGCTCACCCTCCATGGCTGAGCAGGCAGCAAGTATTGCAGGGAGGGCAAAGCCCTGAGCAGTGGTCGGGGTCAAAACGGCCAAAAACTTGAGGGCAGAAACTCAGATTTCTTTTTCCCCCATTTTAGAGATTTTTTTTTTTTTAATTTTGAACTGATGACAGTAAATTAAAGAACCAACTGGCTTTTTCCAGCCCTGTCCTGACAGCTGCCAGTCACCAAGCAGGGCTTGCAGGACATGAAAGATTGATAAGGCAGAGCCAGTGGGTGTGGAGGTGATGCTTCCCTGGCAGAAAATGCCCCAGCACCCCGGAGCACTGACTCAGTCAGCTAAAAAATGTAAGTACAGTCCCAAAAAAAGCAGAAAAGAGGCATCTCTGCTTTCCAAACCACAGCCATGCTCAATCCCTTCCTGTCCTGAAGCCGAGTGTGTTGAGGAAATGCTGAGCATTTATGCATCACAAGCACATTGGGGTGTCCTGGTGATTTTGATGTCACACCTGAAACAAAACTCATATTTAATTCATTGTGTTAATAACATTCGTGAACATGGAGTTTCTCTGGCAGCTCCAGCTCTGTGCCTGCTGTGTTGTTATCCCTGTGGTTGTGGGATGATTTGGGAGCCTCACTGAGGCCACAGTTTCCCCAGGGCTTCAGTCCAGTAAATGAGAGGGAAACCACAGCAAAAGCAGCTGGGGCTCTAAAAACCCAACCCCAACAGCAGAAATGTGAAACTTCTCCCCGTTTTGCGCTGCCATTAAACCCAAATAAGGGCTTTTTCTGTCCCCTTAACTGTTTGTGACTAAAATGAGTCGAAAGGCTGACAGAGCAGCAGTTATTTTGGGGAGAGCAGAAAGCCACACTGCAAGACAGGCACAGTAGCTCCTGCTCGAGGAGGTCATTTCAGCATTTTCCCAAAAACGCCATTAACTGGAGAAAGCCTCATGTGCTCTCACCCCCACTGAGACATTCTGAGCTTCATCCTCATCCTTCACAGCCCTGGGCAGTGGGGAACCACCAGCTGGATGAACTCAGCCCGGGCTCTCTGTGTATTTATTTATTCTGGGGAGTTCTGCTCCTCCCCGCAGAGGGGCTTTCCAAACGGTTCCTGTTTATTTTTGGAACAGGAAAGGCCACGTCAAGGAATTGGTATGAGCCAGAGCTGCTTCCCAACCAGCCCCAAATGGTGATTTTTGCTTCCATCCACATCCCAGAGCTCCAGCTCCTGGAGATAATCCCTTCTAGCACATCTGCCTCCATCTAGCAGCCTGATCCTTTATTCTGGAATTAACGTGCCACAGGAGGGCAGGTTTGCCTTAAACCCCAAGCTTTCTGTTGCAGGTGAGGATTTTGGGACCTCAGAGGATGTTAAAGCCAAGGAGCCCTGCTCCAGCCCAAAGTGATCCAGCCCTCCTCCTGCAGGATCAGAGAACCAGATCTGCCATGTCCCAAGTGCAGGCAGAAAATCAGGCTGAATCTCAGCTCAAGAAAGCTGCTGTGCTAAAAGCCCCCGTGTGTGCCAGGATGAGGGCAGGCTGGCTGCTTTCAGGTCAGGGGGAAAAGCAGCCCTTTTTTCTCCCTGAATCTCTGCCTGGCTCGTTAGAAATGAGCAGGGATGCCCCTGCAGCAGGATGTCAGTGCCCAGGCAGTGCCAGGCTCACCAGCCCGAGGGCAGCTGCTCCCTCCTCCCTGAGGAGGGCAGGGAGCAGTGCCAAGGCAGAGATGGAAGGAGCAGGAGTGTCTGCAGGGGAAACTCCTCTCCTTGATTTAAGGTCCTTGAATGACGGCAATTCCTCATGTCTCACGCTGCTCTCTGCTGGCACTTAATTACCCTCACTGGAAAAACTGCCCTCACATTTCCACCTTGACTTTGCTGACTTCAGCTTCCCTGCTGCTGGATCCTGATTTGCCTTTGGCTGCTAATTAAAAAGCCCTTCAGCCTTTGCCAGCTGCTCCTTGCATAGGTAATTACAGACCGTGCCCCAGCCACCTCCTCACCTTCCCAGCAGGCCAGCAGCATTCCTCCAAAATCTGTGCAGCCTCTTCCCCATCTGCCTCCGGGGGGATGGCACTGCTGTGCTGTGGGACTGTGGGGTCACCTGCAGAAAAACCCAAACACTGCATTTACCAAACCCAAAGAGCCCGTTTGGGGTGGGATTTGTCCCAGCACAAAGGTGGACACGTGTCCATGCTCTCAGGGCCAAAGGGGCTCATGGCAGAGGAAAAGCAGCAGCTTCTTATCCAGCAGAGGAGGAACAAGGCAAGTTGTCTTCCACATTCCTCCCAGAGGAGCCCAGCTCCATTTAAACAGTGTTTTTGGCTAAGCCAAACCCAGGGGATCCCCTCTCTGCCTTTCTACTCACCCTTCAATTCCAAAGCTTAGTAAGATCTGGAGTTTTCTTTGGCATTTGGCTCCATTTTTTTTTAAGTTTAAAACTGCCATGGGCTGTGTGCCCTTTCTCCTCACTCCTGGCAGTGGAGCCAAGGCTGTTCAGACTTTCCAAACACAAGTGGGACACGGCCCAGGCCTAAATTTGTCCCGGAAAAACTGTAAGCAGCTGAAAGAACAAGCAGGAGGGGGGAAAGGCAAAAAAAAAAAAAAAAAAAAAAAAAAAAAAAAAAAGGAAGAAAGGGGAGGTTGGGGGAAATAAATCCCCAAACCAACTCGCTGTTGCAATAAGCCCTGATGTGTGTCAGGACTTACAGGATTTTTTCCTTGAAGGGTATTTGGAGGCCCCCTCCCCAGGAGGATGGCCATTAGGTCACAGAGCAGTGTCAAAGCTGCATCACACGGGCACTGATGGGCCATGCTCAGCCCAGCTCGTGGGTCTCTGCCAGCAGCAAGCTCCTTGTGAGTGTGCCACGAGCCTGGGGACACTGCAGGGCCACCCCAAGGCTCTGCTGGGGACAGACCCTGTTGTGACACCTCTCCCTATGGCTCCATCAGGGTGCAGCCCAGTGGGGTTGATGTTTTCCTGGGGAAAAGGGCAATTGTGGATTTTATTTTTCTCTGCCTGCTCCTTTTTTCCTGCTTTTTTCCCCAAGGCCCATTGAGCACCCCCAGTCCGAGTGGAGGGGATTGAAGGCCATCACTGCTTGGCACCTCACAGCTGCCTGATCCCTGTGCCACTCCATCACCCCCAGGGGTTTGCAGGGAGCTGGTCCAACTGCCTAGCAAGTTCCCTCCTTTTTTTCCCCCCACCCTTTTTTCCACTTTGCTGATTAAATCAGCACTTAATAAAATCACATCAGGCCCAGATGTTTTCTCCTCGGGTCAAGATTCAAGGAGGTGAAGTCAATTAGAGCTGCAATTCATCCCAGGCACACACGGAGCCCCCGGCGCCGGGCACTGCTCTGCCCTGGGCAGAGCGCCAGAGCCAGGCGCGATCCCCGCGTGGTGAGGGGATGCAAACACATCCCAGGGGATGCACTCACCATCCCAGAGGATGCACTCACATCCCAGGGGACAGCAATCACACCCCAGGGGCTGCAAACACATCCCAGGGGATGCAGTCACATCCCACGGGACAGCAATCACACCCCAGGGGTTGCAATCACATCCCAGGGGACAGAAAACACCTCCCAGGGGATGCAAATACATCCCAGGGGTTTACAAACAACCCAGGGGATGCAATCACATCCCAAGGCACTGCAAACTTCCCGGGGGATGCAGTCACATCCCAGGGGATGCAAATACATTCCAGGGGACTGCAAACACATCACAGGGGACAGAAAACATCACAGGGGACAGAAAACATCCCAGGGGATGCAATCACATCCCAGGGGACAGAAAACACATCCCAAGGGACAGAAAACATCCCAGGGGATGCAGTCACATCCCAGGGGACAGAAAACATCCCAGGGGACAGCAATCACACCCCAGGGGATTGCAATCATATCCCAGTGAATGCAAGCACACCCCAGAGCACTGCAAACATCCCAGGGGATGCAATCACATCCCAGGGGACAGAAAACACATCCCAAGGGACAGAAAACATCCCAGGGGATGCAGTCACATCCCAGGGGACAGAAAACATCCCAGGGGACAGCAATCACACCCCAGGGGATTGCAATCATATCCCAGGGGACCGAAAACATCCCAGGGGATGCAGTCACATCCCAGGGGACAGAAAACATCCCAGGGGACAGCAATCACACCCC